GGGGGATCCCCACTAAGTTTAACAAGTTTTGGCGTAAATGGGAAAAAGAAACCCAGAAAAGGACTGGGTTTCACATAGATGTCCTTTTCTGGGTTCTCGTTTTTTCTGGGTTTGTCTTCTTTATTGCTGTTCTTTACTGGAGAATAGATGTTTTTTTTGGGTTTTTTGTTGCTGTCATTTTCCGGGTTTCTTGTCTTTACCCTTCTTTGAGTAGCTGTCCTTTTCTGGGTTTCTTTAAACCTGGACACCTTTTCTTTTCCCACTCTGACTTTCATCCATCCATTCACCTTTTCTTTTCTTTATGGATATGGTTATAGTTGTTAATAAAATTGTTAAGATTTTTAATTTATATTTAATTTGATTTATGTTTATAATTTTTTAATAAGAGAGTGTGATATTTAAAAATATCAATTTATAAATTAATTTTAATTTATTTATTAATAAATATTCATTAATTATTTTATTAATTATTAATTCAAATCAAATAAAATTAATATTTTTAAACATTATTTTGGTGACTTTTGCAATTTCATTGATAAAGATGGTCAACCCCCACTAGGCCTACTTGAGGAGTAGTAGTACCATATATTGGTGTGCTCAGACGTTGTATGTCCTAATCCAGAGTTGTAGAAGAATTGCAACAGAGGTACCAAATTCAGTATCAGGTAAGTAAACTACATCAACTTTGATTCTTAAATTCATTTCTAATCCCTCCTCTGTATATATCTACATCAATATTCTCCATTAGATACCACAGAGACAGCGAGGAGAAATTGAAATGGCTGGAACAAGGGAGACCGGTAATGGAAGACTGAGGCGCATGTTCAGGGTATAGCTGCATATTTATTTTTCCAAATCCTAGCAATTTTCATTTTTAACACATAATGTTTCCAAGAGTTTACTGATATGTAGCTTCATCGCTTTAATTTGTTCAAACAAGACTCTCAAGAGGATGAAAGCCAAAGCTGCAACAAAGAGGGCAGAGATGTGCCGCTTAAGAGAGGAGACAGCGCAAATTGTATCTACAATGGAACAGACAAAATTTGAGAGGAACCTGTTGAAGATGTCACTGGACCAGCATTCTGATGACCTGGTTTTCATCTCTGAAGCTGTGGACGATTTTACGCAGATTATACTCCAACTTTAATTAGCCTAGGACACAAAAAGACCAGTTATGATCTGTTGTATCGTGGTCCTCAAGTCAAGGAACTTATCCTAATGCATAAATAAGTCCAAGGGTAATAGAAGTTTGTCACTTTATTTATTCATGTCATGTCATGTTCGGTTTAGGTCTTCGCGAGTTATGTTTTAGGTTTTGGTTGTTGATCACTGATCTTTCATCCTATGTTGAATGGCAGATTTGGGCTATTTTCTTTAGTTAATTTTTGTAATATCTGCATTTCTTAATTAAGTTTAAATTACCTTTCATAATTTACCAATTACCATGATTAAATTTTCTAGACAAAAAGTTTATAAAAGTCTTTTTTTTATTAAAAAAAAAAGGAAATTGTGGAGTGGGAGGAAGGAGTAATTCTTTACAAGTAACTGGAGCAAGCTTCCATCCTACTACTGCCACGATTTTAAATTTTATAATATATTTGATTTAAGGGGAATGAAGCGGAGGAGTAGTGAGTAGAAGATATTTTTAATTAATTAAATTATAATATTTAAAAATATTATAATTTAATTACTTAAAAACTTCTCTTTTTTGTTTTCTTCCATTCATTTTAACCAAAATATGCTATTAAGTTCAAAAGTTAGGAGGTGAACCAATTGCCCTAATAGGTTCAGCTCGTGTATAAAATCTTAATTCTTTGTGAATCAATTTTAACATAAAATATTTTTATTTAGACTAAAGGGAAATTAAATCAAGTACTAACTTATTCAATTTTTTTTGAGGATTACGTCCGATCATATGATCAAATCCCCGAAGTAAATCATGGTTTAAACTCATTGTATTAATTAATTAGTTTGCTATTAATGAAGAATGGCAAATCATAAAAATTAGGTAAAATCCTATGTTAAACCCCTAAACTTATCTTAAATTTTCAATTAAGCTCATAAACTTTGTGATTTAAGCAATTTAACTCCTTTTTTTATAGCAAACTTAACGCTTACTCGTGCATCACTTGCACAAATAAAATATTAACGTGTCATTACATATGTGATGGATATTGACCTCATCCACGCAAATAAAGCATAAACAAGTATTAACTCTACCATAAAAAGAGATGGTTAAATTACTCATATCAACAAATTTAAGAATTTATTTATTTTAATAAAAATATAAGAGCTTGATCAAGAATTTGAAATAAATTTGGGACTTAACGTAGGGTCTTGGCTATAGATTAAGCCTCGAACTTGTCGAGTGGTGTCTAAGGTTAGCTTTTAAAAGATATGAATTTTGCTATATTATTTATTCAAGGATATGAACTTTTTAAGTTTCTAAATTAAGTTGTAAATTTTTTATTTTTTTTATTCAAGAACATGAATTTTGTTATTTTTTTATTTCAAGATATGAACTTTGACTTATTTCTAATAATATACGTCATTATCACCATTCTTAAATAAAAATAGGGTAAAGTTTATATTCTAATTTATTAAAAACTATAAATTTTGTATTTTTATTTTGAAAAAAAATGACAATTTACTACTGGATAAATAAATCCAAAAACATTCATATCCTTACATAAAACAAATGATAAAATTCATATCATTATTTCCACTTTAATCCAATTTTCAGACACATCCTACACCACAAAACTCATCAAGGTATCAACTAAGTCCTTTTGAAAGGGCCACCTCATCGTGGGAGGGTTATGGCCTCAATTATTTTGAACATCACTAAAAATTATAAATATTATTTTAAAAATATTAGTTTTGTTTAATTTAATAAATAAAAATAATTAATAATTGTAATTAATAATTAATAATTAATAAAATAATTAGTATTTATTAATTAATAAATTAAAATTAATTACTAAATTAATATTTTAGATACCATTTAAGAAAAAAAGAAAACTTGAAAAATTGATAACCTTTACACTTTTTATGATGATGGCTAACCATCACTCGTCAGGCCGTTCAAATCTGAAACTAAAGTGGAGGCCTAAAGGGTCAGAGGTGAGCTTTTGTCTTTATTTGACAGTATTTCTTAATACTTTATTTTTTAATTTTTATATTTTTTATTATTTTAAAAATATATAAAATATTAATTAAAATAAATATTAAATATATTTTATATATTTTAAAAAAACTGTTTTACAAAATAAATTGTATATAATTTATCTTATAAAATTACTTAAATACTCTAATTTATGTTTTTATATTATTTTTTTAAAATATTTAATTAATTTTACAATATAAAATATATAATTCGTCCAAAAAAATAATTTTTAATTTTTAAAATATTAAAATACTAAAAATTACCGTGATAGTTCTATACTAGTGCTGTAAAACCATGCAAGCACCTGTCCTCAAACCCGTGGGTAATCGGACGATCCGTATTTGGGTCCGGAATCCAGAACCAATCGGACCAGACCAAAGAGGAAGAATGGTTGCCCGTTTCCACATTCCAGTGCCACACCCTACCCTATTTGCCCAGCCTAAAAGCCTCAACCTCATACAGAACCCACTGCGTAACTGCGTTCGCAACTTCGCTCACTCTCCCTCTCGGAAAAGCGCTAGTGCTCATGGGTTCTCTCTTCCAATTGAACTTTAGCCTTTTGGGATTTCTTCTAGATGGATAAAGTTTCCAACTTCCTTCTAAGAATATGATCTTATCTATTGAGAAGTTCCTGTTTCTTTCATCAATTTTCTTCCTTGCTGATGGGTTTTCCTTTTTGGTATTTGTTTTACAGATCTGATATCGGGGCATTAACGTTTTTCCGTTTAAGTCATGGCTCTAGTGAGCTCTTTTTTCTATTTAATCTTCCTTTTAGACCCTTGCATCTTTGCCAATGATTTCAGTTGTATAGAAATGAAACAGCTTTGTTGTTTTATGATACCAAAGAAATATAAATGAGAGATAATAAGGAAGATCTATAAGAGAAAAAAAGATCATCGATACGTATTCCTCAAGAAGATCTGGGTTACCAAGAAAGAAATGAGAGATACGGAGGGTTCAAGGATGAAGAAATAGAATATTTTCATACCAACAATGAGGAATCACAGCATGCATCTTCTGATGCAGTATGATTCTTGGCTACAAGACAAAATAGCCTAACGGAAAAATGCGGAAAAAAAATTAAAGGAAATAACATAATGAGTTTGTGGTTGTCATCTATCCTGCACCATCCAAAATATCTGTTCATCAATTCAGTTTAACACCTCAACTCTTGAATTGTCGACTCAGCTTATTTATTATATTTTTTTTTCTTCATATCAATTTGTTTCCCAATTGTCTACCGGTTAAGATTTGTAAATTGGAAATGGGTTTTAGCTTGTTTCCACCTTTTGATCGCTGAGAAAATGAGAAATAAATTGGATGTATGTAGTCCATGATTCCATGTTCAAGTAGTAAGGTTTAGTTTGCTATGTTACAACCAGATCATGTTGACGGGCCGAAAAATAAAAGATTAAGACTTTGGATTGAGTTTATCACTGATATTAAAGTATCTGGCTGCTACTTTGAGATAAAAAATTTTATATGCAGCTTATGATGGTGACCGGAGATTCATCACCAAAATTGAAAATATATATCAATGACTAGTAAATGCTGTATTTTGTATGATTTAACATTTAGCTAAGTACTTTTGTCAATATCTCAGACTCTTTTGTATTTGTTTCCTTATCGTTCTTTCCCCTAGCTAGGGAAAACAGGGAAATTGGGGTTTTATGATTTTTACTTAACTAATGCAATTGCTTGGCCTACTTTGTAGGTCTTGCATGCTGGGGAGACAAATAAAAACGCGTTAGAAACAGTGATTGCTACAGAGTGCAGTGGGTTATAGGTCAAATTTGTTGACAATTTTGAGACGGGTGTCTCAAATAAAACACTTGAATTTCTTAAGATGAATTCTATTGGCAAGGTTTGTAGACTCGTATCTGGCATTGTTAAGGCTAAATTAAAAGCTTTTCCGTATTTTATTTATTTAAAAAAACTCTTATTCTTCTATGTTCCTGTGTTGGAAACACCTGATGGTCTTGTATTTGAGAGCAATGCGATAGCCTGTTATGGTTATCAAACACCAAACACCAGCTTTTTCTCTGTTTGGAGCCTTCTTAGGATCGTCTTAGGATCGTCTTGAGACTTATTTGGACCTAATGCCATGGTTACTCTCTTGAAGAATGACAAGCTGCTATTGGCCTCTCCCTCTTTGATTATGTAAGACTAGCTTTTATTGGTTTTTTAGCTATGAGATTTTTTTTTTTCACAACTTTTACTTGAATAAAAATTTTTCATTGTCTGTTATTCTTTCTATTGTACGCTTGGTTTCTTAGGCCTATGATGGGCGGTAAATTGATTTTGCATCATTGGAAATTGATGCTAACATCTTGAATTGGTTTAGACCAAGAATGGGGTGTGATGTATACCTTCCTCCTGTAAGTTTCCCCAACTCTAGAGTTAGTTTTTTAGCTTGTTTCTTTAAATGGTTTTCCTTCTTAATATTTTGGACATGCGAGTGTTATGCTCCCTATTTTACACTAACTGTGTCTTAGAAACCATAGGTCAGTTTCATGCATTGTGTGGATTAATCTGGTTCTATGTTCATACACATGCTAAGAATGATTTATGATTGCTGGTCATGTCTCTGGTGACTTTCTTCTATTCAACTTATTTTAACTTTATGGATTTTGTTGAATGAAGGCTGAGGAAGCTGCAATTGCCACCCTAAAAAGAGCATTAGGTGCCTTAAACACTCACCTTGGATTCACTCAGCTTATGACTAAGAGCTTTACCTTAGAATTTCCTTATGTTGGGAGGTACTTCTGGACCATGGTAAATCAATCAAATTTCAAAAAGATACTAGGTGAGGTGAAGCAGACTGAATCAGCGCTACCTATTCAGTCTGCAAAAAAGCTTGCATAGCCTAAGGAGGCTAAACCTAAGGCTAAGGATGAACCAAAGAAAGAAGCCAAGAGAGAAGTCCCGAAAGAGCAGGTAAAGGGTGCAGAGGAGGAGGAAGAGGCACCAAAGCCTAAACCCAATTCCTC